ATCGATATCAGACATGAAAAGCTTTAAAAACTATTTATGTATATTCACTTTCTCTCCAAACTAATATCCCCTGTTTTGGCATTATGTTACAGGGTATGCAGGGAGACAAAAAAACTACCCACAACAACGAAACTGTCACAATACGAAAAACAAACAGAGCTTAATTGAAAATTTTATTTTCATTGCTCTCTCTCTCTCTCTCTCTCTCTCTCTCTCTCTCTCTCTCTCTCTCTCTCTCTCTCTCTCTCTCTCTCTCTCTCCCACATACACTCCCGCTCTGTAATGATAAATTCTCTCTTTTATTTATTATTTCTTTTTTTCTTGTATTTTGGGTTCAACATTTCGTTGTGGAGGATCGCGTCGCAAAGTTCGGTTCAAGTTCTTGCAACATGTGTTAGAGTCTAAAATTCCGAAAACTCGCACAGAAGAAACAACTGTGTTTATTTTTCTATTGAAATAGAAACTAACTTAAAAATTTGGAAGGTATACGAGATGTTTGACAATGTGCTCTTGCTTGTTATTTCAATTTGTGTTGCAAAACAAAAGAAATCAGTGTTGTATCCAATGGAAATACACAGTTTACAAATGAATATAAGTTTTAAATGTAAATATTGTCCCTCTTAGAAAGATTTAATCTATCTGTTCAATGGGAATAAGTTTGTTTTTTTTTGTTAAGCATTTCTAAATCGGATCTCTAATAAAAAGAAACTAATGTGTATCAACCTTTTTTGAGTGTTTTACTTTCTTAGTTGTTCTATAGTACTGTATAAGCTAAAAATATAGGCAATGTTTTTATCATGATGCAAAAAAAAAAAAAAAAGGATTTTTAAATTTTATTAAACATTTTCTTTACTTACTGATTTAAAAAATCGTTTTTAACACTGCTAAAACAGTGTTGTAGAAACAGCACATATACATGTTATTGGTAAAAAAAAAAAAATCATTTTAAAATTTTAAGAATTTGATTTTGATTGTTTGTCTTCTTATAGTGCTTTTCCTCAAAGATAGAATACCGTAGTATATTTATTACGAATACGTTTTTAACACTGAAAAATAGTGTAAAAAGTTGCGTACGTTTTTGATACAAGAAGCTTCAAAATTATCGCCTAATTTTTTTTTTTTTTTTTTTTTAATCGATCATAATAATAAATATATTTTTAGGGCCCTCGAATATTATATACATATATTTCTACTGCTTTTTTACGATTTTCTTTCTTTATCTTCACCTTCAAGTTCTTCGCGACTCACTTTTAATTGATTCTCTATGCTACCTAACCTAGTATCTCCTTAGCTCGGAGTATTTTCCTTACTTTTGACCTTTGCATTTGAACTTATCTTTTTTGCTTTTGATAATTTCACAAAAGAAACTTGAATTGGTCGTAAAAATTGTATATACTTTATACAGATATGCGTACTCCCCATTTGGCTGCTGATAGCGCCTGTAATTTGGATGATTTTACAACATTTTCACTTACAGCGAAATGTGAATGATAACAATTAACGTAATACGAAAAGACAACAGGAAATGAAAAATTGTAAATCCGACAATTATAACATTTTTTGTTTTTATATTTATCAGGAGCTAGAAACAGAACAACTATAGATTGTTAGGCATAAAAACTTACCCGACTGAGGAAGATGAAATCTGGAATGACTTTAGGTTTTTATGCTAATTGGGAATTTATTGGGGGATCCCATAAACTCTATACAATAGGTAGTATGTAGTATTCAACAGGAAGTCGAGCTTCCTCTGTCTGTCCATCTCAGATCCTATTAGAGACTAATTCCTGTAGGTCTTACTATATGACGCCTAGATCAAGATTGCTTTTAATGATCCATAAGCTTTCAACCAATCAAATCCCACATGAAATAATATATAGATATGAATATAGAGTGCAAAACTGTTAGTTAGGGTATACCATAGTCGAACACACTCGCCCTCGCCTCAAAGAAATATTGATCGAACAGGTACTCAACTGATCTCCATATATAAACAAATATATAAGTACATATTCATATATGGTATTTATACATATGATTAGCGCATTTTATTGTAAATTCCAAAATTAGCTAATAATAAAATAATAATGATAATCATAATTAATAAATGTGTGTTTTTGTGTTCCGCTTTGCAGCATGGATGCCCCCACTCAGTCGATATACCCGCATTCCGCAACGCTTTTCGCTGCCATCTGTGCCTGCGTATTTGTGACCATCGGCGTGTTTGGTAAGTGGAGATTGGAGAACGCTTCTCAATCAGTTTACATTTAAAATATAAAATATATTGATTGATTGATTGATTGGTCGACTGACTGATTGAGCAAAGCACGAGCAGCCATAGCAAAGGAAATCGCTATGAAGCAAAGAGTGCTCGACGATATTACGTAATTTCTGGTCGTATCGGAAAGTTACATCTATGCCATTTGATACTATAATCGGAGAACGACAATTCATTCACATGATAATGCTAAATGCTTATCGTTAGATGACTGAGATGATGCATATAAATCACTGCCGGTCAACAGAGTCGGCAGTTCGGAATTTCCATTCATTTGTCGGGCCCAAGACGATTCATAATCCAAAAGCACATTTCTATCGAATATTTGAAATTATTAACATCATCGATAAATTAACTGGTTTCTGGAATATGGCTATCGCAAGTAATAGCACTATTGTTTGGTCACCCTATAATAAAAATACGATTTCTTAGTCAAAGAGTATAAATATGTATAATCTGTAAAATAAATATGTGAAAGGTATATATAATATGCACATATATGTATATGTAGATATTCAGTTATATGTGTAAAATGTTTATAACGACTTAACTGTACAGAGAAGAAGAAGAGTGACAGTAAATTTGCCCTCTCTCTCTTTCTCTCATTCTCTACCTTTTGCTTTCCCTTTCTTCTCTTATCTCGTTGTCTCATTCTTTCACTTTCCGCCTTTCACCTACTATCTTTTTCCCTTCCTCTTTCTCTATCATTTTCTCTCTTTATCTCACCTCACCGATATAGAGATATATCCCTCTCTTTCTTTCCCTTGCTCTTACCTTACGATAATCTTTCTTTCTCATGATTGTTTTTTTACTAATTCTTCATCTCTGTCTCCCTATTTTTTCCATTTACGTCTGTCACTCTCTCTCTCTCTCTCTCTGTCACCCTTTCTATATTTCTTTCCTCTCCAAATGTTTGAATACATTTGTTACGAATCAATTTCCAGGCAATCTGATAACGCTGCTGGCTCTTCTCAAGAGTCCGACGATACGGGAGCATGCAACAACCGCCTTTGTCATATCTCTGAGCATATCGGATCTATTATTCTGCTCTTTCAGTCTGCCCCTGACAGCCGTTCGGTTCTTTCAGGAGGTGCGTCAACATCGAATTCTATATTGATATTGAAATCAAACTAAATCCTTTTATATATCCATTGCAGAGCTGGACATTCGGGACGACGCTGTGCAAGATCTTTCCCGTCATCTTCTATGGTAATGTGGCGGTCTCTTTGCTCAGCATGGTGGGCATTACACTGAATAGGTAGGGGTTCGATCTCGAATAGGAATGGGAACTATATATGTGGACTGGAATTGATTTACAACTATTTTAGATAAACTAATCGACTTTAATTTCTATTTATCAGGTATATACTCATCGCCTGCCATAGCCGATACTCACAGATTTATAAGCCGAGGCTAATAACGCTGCAGCTGGTCTTCGTTTGGGCAGTTTCCTTTCTGTTGCTGGTAATTTTCAAACAAGTCTAGAGATATGTGAATAGTACAGATATATGTACATACTAATGCACTATACTGTATATATACTATATACCATCTGCTGATTTCAGTTACCACCGATTCTGGGCATTTGGGGCGAGATGGGCCTGGATGAGACCACGTTTTCGTGTACGATACTGAAGAAGGATGGCAAATCGATTAAGAAGACGTTGTTCATAATTGGTTTCCTGCTGCCGTGTGTGGTTATACTTGTCTCCTATTCCTGCATCTATATAACTGTACTTCATCAGAGGAAGAAGATACGCAGTCATGACAATTTTCAAATTGGCGCCTCAGCCGCCGCTGCCAAGGCGGCTGGATCAGCATCTGGATCATATGCGACTACAGTGAGCACTCGCAAAGCGCGCGAGGATAATCGCCTCACTGTGATGATGGTCACCATATTCGTTTGCTTCCTCATCTGTTTCCTGCCCCTGATGCTGGCCAATGTGGTGGATGATGAGCGCAACACCTCATATCCTTGGCTGCACATCATTGCCTCTGTAATGGCCTGGGCCTCCAGCGTCATCAATCCGATTATCTATGCGGCCAGCAATCGTAACTACAGGTAAGACTCAGCACAAAGAACGAGCCATGTTTTTTTCCTTACATAGATACATACGTTCCTATTTTTAGGGTCGCCTACTACAAGATATTCGCATTACTCAAATTTTGGGGTGAGCCGTTATCGCCGATGCCAAGTAAAAACTATCACCAAAGCAAAAACTCAAAGGAATTATCGGGCGTTATTCGCAGCACGCCATTGTTTCATGCTGTTCAGAAGAATAGTATTAACCAAATGTGCCAAACATATTCAGTATGAGTCTTTTGTATTCGAATTTTGCAATACGACATTAACTACTTATTAAAATATACAATTTTTTTTTAATTAATTAATTATATATTCGAGCGCTTAAGAAAAACAAAGTAAACAAAACAAACAAATATATACCTAGATTATTATATTGACGATAATATAACGCATTTTTATTTGAGAAAAACAGTCAATATAGCTATAACATAGCTAAAATGTACAACACTGCAGAATATTCAAATGTTTAGCGCTGAGAACAAGACATTTACCTCGACGAAATAGTGATGGCACCGTGCAGCCGAAACTCCAGCCAAACGACGCAGCTGAAATAAGCTAAAATAGCAGCACTGCTGACGCGAGCTCCAATAAGAGCGCACTTAGAGATGGCCAAATAAATAATTGAAAGGCGATGAATTACTGCTCATTAGCCGAATGAACGCGTTCAGTAGTTAGATGTCTTATGGCCATTTCAAATTGGCTCTTAACGATGTTTAGGTATTATTATGGGGAGCAGTAATGTCAAACAATTGAGACAGTACCTACTGAACGCGAACATTGTAAGCATTGTTCTTTATGTAGTGGTTATGTAGAGAAGGTAACAAATTATTGAAAATAGTATCAGATGTTCCCTGTATATGTAGCAGTTCCCAAAGTATGAGTGTGTGAACCTATTAGCGACCGATGACCCCCCTAGTATGTGAATGCATATGCGAGTGTATGTACTAAAGACTGGGTGCGTGAGTAATTGTGTATGTGTGGGTGCAGCTTAGCACTGCCTGCCATTGTTGGGTTGATCAAACAATTCAGCATTGAAAGTTTTGTCATCAAATGGGAACGTCTCAATGCTAGTATCCTCATTGATAATGCCAAGTATTTTGTGAACGACCTCTGGATTAGTCTCTCGATTTTCTTCGCAAATGACCTTGACATCGCGCAATTTCGATGCATACATATCGCGATCCTGTTCGACACGTTCCAGCTCTTGAAGAATGGTACGCATATCGATATTGTTATCCGGCACATCGATAGAAGCCTTCTCCTTGCGATATGTCAAATGAGCATCGCTAACGAAAGTGCGAGTGCGCACCTGATGGGCGCTATACACTGAGCGTGCGCTATGAGATGAATTCTTGGAATAGCTAGCAGTGCTCGGACCGAAGCCCATCGACATGCCATCGCGTGCGGCAAGGGCATTGTATGCCTTTCCCTTATTGTTGGCATTGAAGAACTTGCGGAACCATTGCAAGAACTCAAAGTTATCCTGAAAGCGTCCCTTGATCAAACGCTCAATCGGAATTTCCTTATGGACAGACTTCTTCTGGAAGCTGGCTTGCAGCAGCTTGAAATTGTGCACGAATTCGTGCTCCTGATTGGCACGAAACTTGATGCGCTTAAGAGCAACCGAATTCGGGAACAGCATGTCCATGAATTGGCAATAGGCAGCGCCTGGCAGAAAAAAAAAACACAAGCGGAAGTTTCCTCAATGTCCAATATGTATATGTATACCGACTACTTATTCAAATTGGCCAAGGACTAAGGCGCTTACCTGTGCATAGTTCTTCGATCTTAGTGAATTCAGCCTTCAATTGAGTGTTGACCCAGGACAACATCTCGTGGCGCGACCAGTTCTGCGATGATACATTAGTCGAATGCACGTTCACAGCCATTTTGGTTGGGATCGATTCTTTAGATTAGAAATATATAAATTATTTTATTTATGTATTGTGATCCGTATGTATTCGAGTTGTGAGAATAAATGACCTGTGCCAACTACAGCTTCCTACATTACTAAAGCCAGTGAAAGCAAATCAAAGCAGAGCCAACTGCGATACGTCTATGAGCAGAAAGGCAAGTTTGATCAGGCTTTAGTAGGAAAATGTCCCAACTCTAACCATAATCCAAAATGGTTGCAATTTATTAGCACTCCTTGTGTCTTGGCCACTAATTGCAGCATATTTAACTTTGACTTGGCTTTACGGCATTACTCTCTATACTTACAATTGCAATTTTGTATTACTTACTTTTGTAATGTGGAATATTTTTGTAATTGTAAATCGCTTGATGTGTGCAATGGCAGAGCTCGTGTCAGTTTCTGTGTGAAATCTTCGACAGCTCTCGGAAGTTGCTGAATATAGTGTTAACAGCGCAAAATGGACTCCGGGAAAGGAACACACACACATATACCAATATGATTCAGCCAATCATAGGACCAGCTAGCCTGGAGTCAGTGTTGCTAAAGATGCCGGTACGGCAGACAAGTAAGACCGTTGCTCTTCGGCGATTCCGGCTGCAAAATACTCATTCACAATCAAAACGATACCGGCTCCATTTTTTGATTTGCCACGCCCCCTCCTATCGGTATACGGGTTTTGGCAATTGAGCAGTGGACAAGTTAATAGTACATAAATTGTTAAAATTTGAGGCCTTACTATATCAATCTCAAGCATCGGAAGAGCTCAACATATTACAGAATATTTACAAATTACTATATAGTCAATTCCGATTTTCCTCCCATGGGCGTGGATAATACCACTATATAGAACTTTATAGGAACTCAATCGATGCAGTTTTAGTCGATTTACCGTACCTCTTTGATATGGGCTCTAAAATTTTAACAAACTTTCAATTCTTTAGCACTACAAATAACACAGATTCTTGATATACCACGCCCTCAGTGGGCGCATCGGTATGATCTAGACTTCCGACAAGAGTAACATTCAGATAGGAGCAATATTGCATATGGCAAATCTCTAGCTTCAAAAGCGCGCGCTCATACGGACGGGCAGCAAGACAGCACAATATCAATATACTCGTTTCGGAGCATAAGTTTGAACAGCTTAGGCACACACATTTACACGCGGTTTATCGTTTCTTAACACAATATATATACACATGGATGTTCACATTTAAAAAAAATGGTTTTATTCTTATTCCTTTTGCTTTTGTTTTCAGGAGAATTCTTAGCGCACACTAATTGGCAACAACAAATTATTGCTGCCTGTTGGGTATTTAGTTCCAATAATTTGTTTTCTATGCTTTAAGGGCATATTTGCGTTGTGGGAAGATGGAACGCTTGCGGATTTCCTTGAGGGTCTTGCGGTTGGCATCGCGTGGCGACAGGGCCTTGCGCATGGAGCGTGTCTTCTTCTTGCGCAGATCCAAAGGCTTGTACTTCTTGTTCTTGAAGACCTTGCGCAGATTCTCCTTCTGCTTCTGGTGCATCACAATGTAGACGCGTGCGATGGCCTTGCGGACAACGCGGCTGCATAAAGCAAGCAAAAAAAAAAATCAAGGAAAAGAACACAAATTAGTCAAACATTCAATAGAATAGTAGGAGAGGGGAATGTATGAACAACTTACATCTTGGACAGCTTGGATGGTGCTCCGCCGGTGACCTTAGCCACACGCAGATTGAGCAGCTCATTCTTGAGCTCATCCAATTGCTTGGTGAGCTCCTTCTTGTCCTTCGTTCTCAATTCTGAGCACTTGATCTTCACCTATGCGAGAAGAGCAAAAACAATTTGTGGAATACTTTAGTAATTGGTTTATTAAGGCGTACACACAAAAAATAATATTCGACGCAAAAAGTATGCACAGTTTGATTCGTGTTTCATACATTTTTTTCTTATTTCATGCACGGATGTTATTTATTTTTAAGAATTATAATTCACAGAAACTTGGTACCAACCATTTTTCTCGCTGGTCACGTCAAAAAAGAAAGAACTAGGGCCGGACAATCGAACGAGGGCTATCGTATGAAAACAAACGACGATTTTGACAAATGGCAGTTGTGTCATTTTACAGCACTGGCATATAGATAGCCCAACACTATTGTGTGTGGAGCGATGCTGTTAATCGACACTGTGGCAACGCCAATAAATCCAGCCCACGGCCCCCGCACAGCACAAGCAAATCCGCTAATAGTTTAAGTTTAATCGTAAATGAACTAACTATTAAGAAGAAAACAAAATAAAATACATACCCGACAAATCGCAAACATGGCTGACAGAGCAATAAAGCTGCTCATCATAGGAGAGAGCGGCGTTGGAAAGTCCAGGCAAGCAATTTAACACAATTCCAATTACATTTGCAATTGCGTATTTCATCTGCGCACGCATACACACATGTAAACATGTAAACACTTAAACTGAGATAAGCGTTTTCTATGACTTAGTCATACAAGTGTATTGTTTATTTCGCATTCAAATCTATTGTGAATCTATTGTTTTTCGTTTGTTGCATATTCCAGCCTGATACGTCGTTTCGTTGAGAACAAGTTTGATGACAATCATGACGTCACAATTGGTATGGACTTTAAGAGTGCCATCATGAATGTGGATGGCATTGACTACAAGGTTGCACTGTGGGACACAGCGGGCGCCGAAAGATTTCGCAGTCTAACACCCAGTTTCTATCGCAAGGCGCTGGGCGCCATACTTGTGTATGACATCACAAATCGCGAATCACTGGTCAAACTGGATGCCTGGATGGCAGAGCTGGATAGCTACAGTGATAATCCGAATATAGCGATTATTGTGGTTGGCAACAAAATTGATAAGGATCGTGTCGTTGACCGGGAAGATGGCCGTAAATTTGCGCGCAAACATCGGGCGCTCTTCATCGAAACATCGGCCAAATGTGATCAGTTCGTTAGTGATGTGTTCAAGGATATTGTGGAGAAGGTAGGCTTTTTATTGACATTATTATGACACTTTTCAAATTCATTTGTGATAATATTGTCAACCCATTCCAGATTGTTTCATCAGAATATTTCGTTAACGGGAATACTTCGAATGGCATGACGATTGACAATACCCAGGATGTTGACTCAAGCCCATCGACGTGTTATTGTTGACGTGCGCGTTGTGCTTTTCCTTGGTTCATTCTGCTTTTCGATAATTCATTTTCTTAAATTTGTAGAGTATATTTATTTTAAACGTATCAATTTCAACTTAGTATAAATGCTTTACAACATATCCCAAAACAAAAAATGAAATGCCTCGATTTTGCAACGTCCGCTTCTGTTCGGTAAGCAACACGACGAAAATGTTTATATGTACCTAAACTGTAAATATAATTATCCCATACACCAACGCAGCGATTGGCTAACAATAATTTGCTACTGACTTTTTTTTTTTTTTTGTATATACCAAAAAATAGAAAGCGCTGAATTGGTTCCGTTATTTTTAGCCCAGTCGCGCAAGCGCTCAATCCCTGTCCCCCTTGCTCCCTTTCATAGTTTTATAGTTTGTTTTTGTTTTCTCTCTTTTTATTATTAAATTTATATGAAGAAATTTCTTCAAGTCAGAAAGCTCTTTGCGCTAAATTAAATTAAAAAAAAAAAATTCAATAAAAGAAAAAAAAATGGCAAAGGAAAAAACGCTTTTTAGATAGAAATGTACATGGAGCACGATTGTTATTCAAATTTCTTTTCATTCAGTTTGATTGGTGTTTGCGTGTGAGTGGGTGTTTAGGTGTGTTTGTGAGTGTATTTACAAATATATGAATTTAATTTTAAATTGTTTTCTTTTCGTTTGTTGTAATTACCGCTAAAAACACGAGGTGACAAAATTGTTGACGCTAAAGCGATGTTTCGTCAAAGAATCTATTCCAGACGTACGCCCTATGTATGTACATTTTCTATAATCATAGTGTTTGGTTTTAATGTTTTTTTTTTTTCGTATTTTTTTTTTTTGTATAGTATCTAGGCATTACAAATGTAACTTAAAGTTATAGCAACGTCTCCGTTGTAGGCGCTGCCATCTGTCTGTCATCTACTTGCCAGCGATGCCACTCTTTTTGGCATCCAGTTCGTAGATGAGCAAACGCCACATTTTCACCACAAACACTTCAGCCTCCTCGTCCAGCACCTGTCGCGTAGCATGAGTGGTAGTGAGAGAGAGAGAGGGAAGGAGATAGAAAGAGTGTGTTGTTTATTAATGTTGGAAGGTGAAGAATTTGATATTGTGTTGTACAATATATAGCGTATACTCACCATTTGGACATCGTCCAATATGCTTTGGGGCGGACTGCCGGCCAATACTTTGGAACATATAAAGTCCACTAACGTTGGCTCCGGCTCACCGATATATTCGATGATTTTCTTATTGATCCATGGACGTATTTTGCGTTCCATTAGACCGCTGTCAATCTCGTTGCGGTCAAGCTTATAATTAAATAGTTCCTCCTTTTGTGTGGGTATCCTGTCAATAATGCTTTTTATATGCCGCCGTTTTTCATCATGCACCTTTGCACCATTCTCATCCTTTTTGGTGTTTGACGCGGCGGCATCTGCGCCACCCGCAGATGCAGCTGCATCATTCTTACCATGATGTTTGCTGCCGGCATTGTTGGCACCGCTGCTGCCGCTGCCACTGCCGCTACCGCTACCGCCGCTGCTGCCGCCGCCATGCTTGCCATGCTGGCTGCTGCTATTCTTGCCACTTGACCCGGAGGATGCTGAGCCAGATCCATTGCCACCGCCCCCGCCTCCAACTGCATTCGCTATCTTCTGGCTAACGGCAGCGGCAGCAGCTGTCGCCGCTGATACAGCAGAACTCTGACGCTCCGCAGCCGTCTGTGATGCGCTTATCGATGATGTGCTATTGCTTATATTGTCATCATAATCTGCAATGGACAAACCAAATACATATATTATTATAATGTTCCACAATTGGTTTGGTTTTGAAATTTGAGCATTGGATATCTAATTTACATAGATCTATGCAGAAAATTGACATTTATAGATATTATTTCGAATATAGATTGGAAGTACTCTGGTATTCCTTAGCTACTAACTAACTAACTAACCCTAATATAGATAGCTCTATGTAATTAGGATCGTTACGGATATAATGTTATCTTTGGATAAATTTTCTAATATATGCCACAAGCTGAGTAACCATAACTATTACTTAACTTTTATATTATATATATGATATAATTTTAAACTTGACAACTTTTAAGTAATTCAATCTGCTCGAAATTCTCACCTCGCATATGCCTCACATAATAATAACTCTTTTTCTTTGACATTGGGTTTTCTATACAAATAATATCTCTTCTTTGATTCTAGGTTACCTTCACATAGAGCTACCATATCATATGCATATACTATTTCATTTTTAGGAATCATAACCCTCTTCTTAGATCTGAGATTATCTTATCAAGTTAGCAAATCTATTAATATGCTTTCCTACTTCAACCCAAGTTTTATATGCACAAAGTGGAGCATAAAAGCAAAGGCAATTTCATAAGGTTTATGGCGAAAGTCTATCCCATTATGACATTCCTTGTACTTTCTTTCTTTCTTTCTCTACAGGGCATCTAGCAACCCATTACGTAACTCTCCTTTACTCTCCTTTACTCTTCTCCATCCTATCCCCTATATCTCTTCCTTCTCACTCTCGCTCGCTCACCTAAAGGCACCAGTTTGCGCTTCTTGGGATTGATGTTCTCGTCGTTGTCGTCATCGTTGGTAAAGACGCCCGTTGTCTCGATCACCTTCTTCTTGAGACTGTTGCCGAGGGTGAGAGAGATGAGCGGCATGCTCATTGCCGAGGCGGCCGCAGCGGCTGCTGCCACCGTCTGATGGTCATTCTCTATGGCATTCATTGTGGGCGTATGGATGTTGGCTAATGAGTCCCTGGACTCGCTATTCTGTCGGCTGACACTATCGTCGCCGCCTCCGCCGCCAGCTAGATTGCTGTTGTTGCTAATGTTGTTGTTGTTGCTGTTCTTGAGATGGGAATAGCCGCTGGCATTGGAGGCCGTGTCGGCCATAGAGGCGCGATCATCGTTCGTCGATATGGAATCCTCCGAAGGCGGTGGCTTATGCACCAGCGCACCGCCTCCAACGCCAATCACGCTGTCTCGGCTATCATAATCCTCGTTCAGCTGTTGCTTGCGTCGCTCTGCGTTTAGCTGCTGCTCCTGTTGCTCCTGCTGCAGTGGCTCGACGTCACGTCGCTGCGCCTCCAGATTCACATTGATCAGAATACGCGGCTCGTAGAGTTTTTCGATTTCACGTCGCGCCTTCTCGAACTCCTGCGAAGGATTCTCATATTCGCCGCTAAAGATTTTGTTCTTCAACTCGGTCAGTTCGTCTGCCTCCTTTTCGCGATCCTTTGAATCGGCATCCGCTTCGCGCACTCGTTCCGCCAAGCGCTGCTGCAGCTCACGGCCTCGATAGTAAAGTGCATCGTCTCGTTCGTCATCGTAGTCTTCAACGAATTCCTTCAAGCGCTTGGCGTCCTTTTCGCGCTCTTCCTGACGCAGCATCTCCTTCAGACGATACTGCAATGATTGATGATAATTTGTTAAGATTAATATGCTTCAATGACATGCGCTGATTCTGCAAGGACCCTTTCTCTATTTGCTTTGATGACTCTCGCTTAAATACAGTATACCCTAGTCTATTCCAATAGTCTTGACTTATACTATACTGACTACTTCAAACCTAATAGAGCCTACATCCGAATTATAATAGTTGAGTTACTACTACCATGTATAATATTTGGATTCACCCCAGCTAAAGCTCAGTGTGTCTCGCTCTTCACCTTTTCGTTCTCCTTGGCTTTGCGCTTCTCGCGTATCTCCCAGTTGGTCAGGCGCTCCTGGTAGGCGGCCTCCTTTTCGCGCGCCTTCTTCTCGGCCTTTTTGCGCTCGCGCATCTCCTCCTCCATCTCCTTTTCACGACGAGCATCGCGCACCGGCTTGATGATCTTCTCTTCGCGCTCACGCTCACGTTCACGCTCTCTGTCCCGCTCACGCATCTCGATGCGCTCTCGCTCGCGTTCCCGTTCACGTTCCCGCTCACGTTCTCGCTCACGGTCACGCTCCCGTTCCCGCTCACGTTCACGCTCACGCTCCTTGTCGCGTAGCTCACGCATCTCACGCTCGCGCATCATTTCGCGTTCACGCTCACGATCACGGTCACGGTCACGATCACGCTCACGTTCCCGTTCACGATCGCGTTCCTTGGTGCGCGACTTGGAGCGTCGATCGCGACGTCGTCCCTCCTTGTGGGCGTCAATGGCGCTGCTGGTGGTGCGCTCCTTGTGATCCTTGGACAGGCGCGCAGACGACTCATCGATGGTGTGTACCGAATCCTTGCGACTGCGCTGAGTGACTGGATCCTTGCCGGGCTGTTCCTTGTCAGTGATTTCCACAATTTCCTCCACTTCGCCGCCCACCACAGAGGGCTTGCTGGCGCTGGCGCTCGCACTGGTAGCACCGCTGGCGGCGCTGCTGTTGTTCTTGCGCTCTGCTTCGCGCTGTTGTTTTTTACGCTCGCGCTCCTTTTCCTTCTCCTTACTGGCCAGCTGTTTCTCCTTTTCCTTCTCCTTTTCGAGCTCCTTGCGGTGCTCGTCGGCTTCGGCACGTTTTCGGAACTTGCCGATCTCACTGCTGATCAAATTGCGTTTCTCCTCCTCGAGCGCGTTGTCGTTCAAGGATTTGATCTTGATGTCATCTTCGCCGCGTCGCGTCTTCTTGTTGCGATTGCTGCTGCTGCTGCCATAGAGGTCGCCGCGATTGCTGCCATCGAAGCCCTCGAATTCGTGTTTATGCTCCTCAAGCAGTTCGTGCATCTGGCTGGTGGCAAACTCGTCCTCAGTCTTTTCATCCACGGCATTGGGACCGCCCTCGCCATTCTTGCACTCCTTCTCCTTGTAATCCTCTATTAGCACTTTGTTCTTAGCATCCACCTTAGCCACCAGCTTCTTACCATCAATCTCCAGTTCACTGAGCAGCCGCACAGATCTCATCGCCGCAATGGGACCGCTGCAAAGGATGTGCAAGGGAGAGAGGAAGACCAATTAGATACCGTTTATGGCATAGAAGCCGACTATGTTTTAGCTTACTCGAATTCACAAAATCCGAACGTGGAGACACGCTTCCAATTGATGACAACGCCACAGGTGGCCAATATGCGCTTCAGCAACGATTCCGGGACGCGTTCACTGATGTTGCCCACAAAGACAGTAATGACGGGTCCACGGAACTGAGGCTGGGGCTCTGGCGGACGATGATACACTGTTGGCTGTGAGCTGATCGTCGCTGAGTTGCGATAGCTGCGTGGCGGGGGTATCGGAGGCATCAGCTAGCATGCCAAGCAGCGAAAAAAGAAATTTTCAATTCTGGGCAACATTTTGTATTTTATATCGACTTACATGCGGCGGTGGTATTGATGCATTCATATATGGCGGCATCGGCGCACGCGGTGGATATGACATTTTGGTTGTTCCTTATGTTGTGCCTTCCTGTTTTTAAATACTATTATTTTGTATTTTTGTATTTGTTGTTGGCGTGCGTGCGAATTAAAGCCGACACATTCATACACACCAACACACATGCAAGCACATTCGCTCACTCACACAAACACACACGCACACATGCACGCGCGCACACGAAACAGGCACACACACGGGTGTGTTGGAGTGAACGTGAATCGTGTACGATATATTCGTAGATCAAATGCAAATATGTGTACACAGTGCTAACAACAAGAGCGTGTACGTTCAAGCCAACCACACGCGTATATTAGTCTTGAATCGCGTTTTTTGTCTTTCAATTTGTTAGTTTTTGTACATACATATGCAATTAAAGAAAACTACACGTAAAAAAGGCTGCTCTCAAATTTTCACCACTGCAGCCGCTGAACATAGAGATGGACAAGCGTGTAAGCGCTCTTGTTATCGCTTGCGCGTGCGATATATGTACAAATGCAGTCCGTTGTGCGTTGACAGCTAATCGACCATCTGCAGTGCTGTATAATTCGCGAAAATCTACGATCAGCTGTTTCATTAAATGAAAAACACGCACAAATACAATAAAAACATTCGAGATTTTATAACGAAATAGAGTACATATATATAGCAAAAAACGAAAATATATCAAATAATTCGATATATAAACATCCTGGCAGTTGATATTGGCATTTAACAGCTGCTGACATATATTTGTGTCTGTGCTGCGGCTATAGAAAGCTAAGTTAAATTATTATTATTTTGGAAATTTATTTTAATTATTATACAATGCGTCTGGGTGGTGTGTTACGATGCCGCAGCGTTATTAAACAGCAATATGTGCCGCAGCACAAGCCCGTTCTGAATGATGATATAAAACGCTTGGAGGAGTTCTTGCTGTCCAGACCAAATATTTTGGTACTTACAGGCGCGGGCATATCAACAGAATCGGGTAAGCGTAAGCTAACTGCTATAAAACGAATTAAGCTGGACTAGCGCTCTATAGCAATAAGCTTCTGTGAGTTATCTAATATATCTTGGGCGCAATTAATGAAAAGCGATTCTGAGTTAGGGATTTCTCACTGTAATTATATTAATATACCTTTTCCCTATTGGCAGGCATACCCGACTATCGTTCCGCTGGCGTTGGCCTGTACGCGCGCACCAATCACAAACCCATCCAGCACAGCGAGTTCTTGAAATCCGACGCAGTACGAAAACGTTATTGGGCCAGGAACTTTGTGGGCTGGCCAAATTTCTCAGCAACCCAACCGAATGCTACACATTATGCTTTGGCGCGCTTTGAGCGCGAGCTGCGCATCCAAGCAGTGGTCACCCAGAACGTGGACCGTTTGCATAGCAAGGCGGGCACCAAGAACATTGTGGAGCTGCATGGCAGCGGCTATGTGGTCAAGTGCTTGGACTGCGACTATCGTATCGAGCGGCACGAGTTCCAAAACATACTCACCTCGATGAATCCGGCATTCAGCGATGCACCGGACATGATACGGCCCGATGGCGACGTCGAGATCCCAGCCGAATATATTGAAAACTTTAAAATCCCCACATGCCCGCAATGCGATGGCAACCTGAAGCCAGAAATTGTATTCTTTGGCGATTGTGTGCCAAGGGAGCGACTCGATGCCATTGCCAAGATGATTTACACCAGTGACGGACTGCTGGTGCTCGGCTCCAGTCTGCTTGTCTTCTCCGGCTACCGCATAGTGCTGCAGACGAAGGACCTGAAGTTGCCCGTGGCCATTGTCAACATTGGAGAGACGCGGGCCGACCACTTGGCTGACATCAAGATCTCCGCCAAGTGCGGCGATGTGTTGCCCAAGCTCTTCGACTATCGTCCCACAACTTAAAGAAAAACAACGGATTTGTAATGCTCATGAAACTGTAAAAATATAATATTATTTTTTAAAACATTGGAGAACCCTTTGGCACTACATGTTGTTTTCGATATATTGATCGATTTTGTCGTAGACGCCGCGATCGCTTTCACGATACCAAACGTCGGTCTCCACCAGCTGCAGCTGCATCAGTGTCTCCTCTGAGAAATCGCCAAGACGCTTGTCGTCGATGGAAAAGCGTAGGGTGCAGCTGCCAACGCACGGATTTTCTAGGTTTTCATTGTACTCGTAAACAACAAGATAGAAATGGCCGTCGCTGAAAAAGGATTCGCGCAACGGCAGCGGTGGCTTAAGGAAATCGGCCAGCAGCTGCTGAATTGATATGGGTTGAGTATCTGGCAACTCAATGACGCTTGACTCAACGGAAATTGGTGGTGCAGGCAACGGCTGTGGCTCCTGCAGCTGCTGTGTCTCTTTGACTGCCAATTCGTTTAGCTTCTCGCAGCTGAGAGCATTTAGACGCTGCGAGGACTTAATAGTGATGATGGTGGCGTCGACCAGCGAGGACTCGTCCTCGGAGAGAACTGGGGAATCATCGTCAGCTGCGACGCTCAGCTCGTTGCAATTCTTAGGCATATAGAATGAAGAGTCAATGGATTCATCTGATGTTGTTAACTGTTGCTTGGGCTGCTGGAGCTTGGCCTCCACCTCTGCGCACATGTTGCATTTGAAATTGTTCGGTTCGTTGGCGGAGGCACGCGATAGACGCATTGTGCCTACATAGCACTTGTAGTGGGTGCCGACAGCAGCGCAAAGGATGCACGGTTGAATAATCCAAGTGTTGCGATTGAAGTCGCGGCCCTTTGGGCACAGGCATATGGCCTGCTCGCAGCGCATACGGCGGTTGTGTAGCTCGCTGTAGGCGTTTGGCTGGCGCTCCCAGGTGGCATCGCGGTCGGGCACGAAGACCGACTGAAGGCGTATGTTGTCATGGAAAGTCTTCGAGCGGCACCAGAGACAGCGCAAGTAGTAGCCAGAGGCCAGAGCATAACGACGCATGCATGTGCGGTGGGCGAAGCCCTTGCGGCAACAATCCCCGTAGGTGACATTGTGGAGCAGAAAAGGGGAGATCGGGCGGAAGCAGATGTCACACTGGGCCGACTTGGGCGGGTCGGCCACCAGCTGCCGCTTGTAGTCATCCATCGGTGCACAATTCTCGCAGTAGCTGCGGAAGTCATCACAGAATTGATAAACACAACGATTTTCCAGGCCACAGATCATGTGGAAAACAATGCGGCATTTGAAGCAAATCACGCTGGCGCCCTTCTCGCGACAGAAGGCGCATTTACGCTTCTGGGCAGCGACTGCCTCCTGGCGTATGTCGCGCAACAAGAAGCCCAGAATTCCGCTCGAGTCGCCGCCGCGTTGTGGCAAGTTCGAAGATAGCAGCTGTTGGCGGCAAAAAACAATGCGCATAAAGAATAATTTAAATGGTTTTTTTTTACCAGGCAATAGTAATGCACTGTTACATTCTGTTTGACCATCCATTCGCCGTAAAGTAATGCGTCGTCTTCTTCTTCGTTTGCATTGTTCTTATTGCATATATCACATGTACGCATTTCTTTTTTATTTTTATTCAAACTACGATTGAAGCAACGCAAAGCATTACATTTATCGATTACTGATATACTGGAACCCATTTTGACTGCTCAACACTGTTGAGACTGAATACTTTATACAAGCAGCTCACTCACATCACTAAAACACACACACATAAAGTCAGCAGCTACTACAACAACAAAAATTCGACGACGGCGACGACGACGACGACGATACCAACATAACATCAAGAGAGGCATTGACTAAACTGGCTGTTATTTATATAAATACACATAGAAAATAATAACACAATGGCGTATGACTTAAAAAAGGAGTCTGACGTTAAGGAATATGTGGAAAAGCTGGGCGTTGAATATCGCTTTGGCTGCTATTCTGAAAAGAAACCGGAAGGTAAATACCAACAACAACAACAGCAGGCGGCCAATACACCAGAAGCAGCAGCAACAACAACAATAACAACATAACCTAGGTTTTCTTCTTGTATTCGTAATTGAATTACAAAACAAAACATCGGCAACTTTGTAAATGATATGTGAAAATCTAAAGCTTTGGATGAGATGCCATCCGATTGCACAATCTAAATATGCATTTGTTTTTACAAATATTTTCAGTGTGCCATTTGCTGGGCGACTATTTGGAGGGAATTAAGAAGGACTTCGAGAAGGCATCCAAAGTATACAAATCAACATGTGACGACTATGGATATGCCAAGTCCTGTTATAAATATGGCAACTATAGCTTCCTGGGCAAGGGTAAGAGCGGCAGCAAAGGCGAGCCTCGCGTCGCCTATCAGTACTATGAGAAGGGCTGCAATCTGAACGATTCGGATGCTTGTCTGCATTCCGGTCTGCTGCTCGTCTCACGCTCCATGCCCAAAGAGATTGACCGAAATGTGCCTAAAGTGAGTTGGGTCCAATTATACCGCCGCAGCCCTAACGTCTCTTAATTCGATCTGATTTCGCTCTGATATTTGCAGGGTTTGCAGTTTCTCACCAAGAGCTGTGACATGAACAATGCCACTGCCTGCTTCTATTTATCTGGGATGCATATTTCGGGCGTGCAGAAGAAGCCGGAGGATGCGTCCACCGCGGCACAGACCAAAACGCTTAAGGACACCGATTACATTGTGCTCAAGGACATGAAGAAGGCCTTTCAGTTCGCCTACAAGGCGTGCGAATTGCGTAACATGTATGCGTGCGCCAATCTTAGCCAGATGTACAAACGCGGCGATGGCATCGAGAAGAACGAGAAGGAGGCGGAGAAATATAAGAAGCTGGCGCTCGAAATGCAGGAGGAGATGAAGAAGCAACAGGAGACGCTCACTTTTCAACAGGGCGTCGGCATGCCAAACTGATTTATCCTATCAATATCTACCTATATGTACATGCGCATGTATACATATATATATATATTGTTATGTACATGTATATATATCTGTGTGCATGTATAGTCAAGTTTCATATCCTTTTGTTTCTATTATCTCTACTTTTTGCCTATTTTGTTCCGTTGAGATTTCGTAAAGATTTGCTATAACTAATTTAAGTGGGTTATATATATATATATACTATATACATATATGTATATATGTATTTTTTGTTTTTTCGTGTATATAGACAGCGGCATTTGCGTTTTCGGCATGTGTTTTGAAAAATTCCTAGTTTTAATTGTTAAAGTTTAAACGATAAACCAGAGAAAACGAAGAAAAAAAAAAAAAAAGAAAAACAACAACCTTATATAGTCCCGTTGATACCTTAATTAAATACAAAGAAACAAACCAAAATCAAGCACAAACACAAATGACTTTCATATATACATATATATAAAGCAAATAAAAATCTGCAATGATAATGCTAATCAGAGCTGTGAAATATAATCAAAGCGTTTCAATATGACTAGCTTAAATAATGCAGTCGATTCCACAATCTTTAGATTGATTTAGCAATGTTCTAGCATTAATTCGGTATAGTCTAATTGGAAGTGCAATTGGAAAGAGAGTACCAATTAGAACAGAGGTATTCACTCCAATAAGTCATAAGCGTAAACTCTCGAATTGTGCAACAACGAGAATGCCAATGGGATTACTGCAATATGAGGCATGTAATTTAATAATTAATAATTAATTTATATATATAAATATATTGTATATTGTATAGTGTATATATCATCCGAATAATATGACATATATTTCTATAAAGACTATAAGTTAAAGCCAATTAGAGAACATCTTGAGAGCTTTCGTGCCAGCTGTGCGTGTTCTATTTAATAAGTATTTAGTTGCATACCTAAATATATAAGGTATGGGCTCTATTGTCTATAGTATGATTAAAACATTTGATCACGACATATTTGTATCTATATTTGGGTCTATAAAGAATGTCCAAATCTCTCTCTATTGCTTTCCCATTCACGAAGTCGTAACAAAGCTCGGTTCTGACCCATATGAAGAGATCCATGCAAATATTTAACATTTAGCCCGTCAGTTAGTAAATCAGTCAATCGATCATTGAATTAATGGAATGTTGGAATAATCATTCAATCAATCAATCGGCCAATTAATAATTTAGTTCATCAATCAGTTCAGTTCAATCAGTTCAATCAATTCACAAAATCAATCTGTAATACTAATATTATTCAATTAATCGGTCAATCAGTCTTTCAATTATTCAGTCAGTCAAGCTATTATTGTGGATTAAGTAGATTATTCGACATCATTCAATTAATCAATCAGTCATCAGTAAGTTAGTTCATCGGTAAGTCAGTTAATCAATTAGTTAGAAGATCAAATCTGTCCGACAATGAGTTAAATAATCAACAGTCTATCAGTCAATCAATCAATCAATTAGTTAGCCAATCAACCAGTCAATCAATCAGTCACTTGGAATTTAAACAGCTAATCGGTCGCTTAAGCAATCAACTATTCAATCAATCAATCAGTTATTCAGAAGTCATTCAATCAAATCAATCAGGAATTCAATTAGTCAAACTATCATTAGGTCGTTCAAACTGTATTTCGGTCCATTATTCACTTAGTTATGTAGCTAAGATCTTAATCAATCAGTTGGGCCGTCTCTAATCAGCTAAACAAGTCATTAATTAGTCAATCAATCAGTTATTTAATTAATCATCACGCAATTGTCGCTTCATCTATTCAGAGGGGCAATCAATCAGTCAGACTCTATATAAGCATGCCAAAGCCAAAGACTTCTCTAATTAGAATTGCGTACGCCCAATTGGGAAATCAAACCATTTGCTGCTTGCCCATGGAACTTCGATGAAGTCCAATGGGACACGTAATGCTCATCATAACTCATCACAAATAGAGCGAGATAAGCGCATAAAACAGGCAAAACAAATAAAATGATCTCGCACAATTTTTTGTTCACATTTCATATTTTTGTATAGCTTTTAAGCTGTCCTGTTTGTCAAGATTTCTGTTTGATTAACTGTAATATAAATATTTGCAAACACATGTGCCAGACAGACAGAGACTGGGAGAAGAGGGGGAGATATGCTAGTAACAAAATATGTTTTACGTATACTTATTTTTTCCTTCCAATTTTCCTTTTTTTGGGAGATGACGAATTTTTTGTTTTCTTTTCTCTTCATATTTTTTTCTTGGAGTATTCAGACATGTTTCCCCGATAAGATGAATGAATATTTAATGAATGGGGGCACATATTGCATAGGCAAACTAAGATCCGCTGAGATGTGATAAGAATGAATTGGCTTTGTACACGGGGAGAGGGACGAGGAAAACTTTATTTGTTAGTCGAGGCGCCTCATTTCGGTTGCTATATCAATCTCTATTTTGTGTAATACTTGCTAGCAGCGCACAGTGGTCGATTTCATAGGCCAAAAATGCAAAATTGTTTTTTTTTTTTTTTTTTGAATTTGTAACATTGGGCATTATTTTCATTTCTTAAAATAACATTTAAGCCCACTGTACACTTTGCACTATCCCATTTGCACACGCTACAAATAGCAACAAAAACTAGACAAACAAAAAATAATAAATAATAATAATAAAATTCGTGGCCTTTGCAGTGAACGAAGCTGAAAAGTGGTCTCTGACGAAAAATTAAATTTTAATATTAAATTGTGTCTAATTGTTATAAATTATTATGAATATTGAAAGAGAAGGTTAACACTATATAACTTAGTGAATTTTGTAAAATAACTTTTATATTTTATATTCTCTAAACTTGTAGTCTCAATTTTAGCTGCCATCTTTCGCCTCCCTTTCTGTTTTTCTACCTTATGTATGTGGGTGTATTTACTTGCTTAATTTGTTTCTGTGTTTTCATTATTTGTGTTTTGATCGTCATATGCGTTTCTGTTTGACATGAATGATATTGAAAAATCTTTGAAAAAAGATGTACGAATTTAGATTGTCTCCATTACATAAGATTTTTCAAATATTTTCTTCATGTTGCCTATAGACTTGAAATGAGACTGTAGTAAATAAAAGGCTTAGAAAGCAAAAAAAAAATTGGGTTAATTGTCAACAAGTGGAAGTGGATCTTCAAATGATGGGAACACTGCAAGAACATTTTTTTTTAAGTATCCTCACATATCAGCCGCAACATTACTGCAAGCCCCATCATCAGGGTATACAATTAATGCTTACAAATTTAGAGCATTATCGCTAGATAGAGCAAGAGAGCTAACATTAACGTATTCCTGGCATTACCTTCCTTACTGCACTGGCATAGCATATTAATTCACACTCCTGATGTTATAAAATATGCATAGCTTCAATTAGTGAGCTCTCTGAAGAAGCTGCTGAGGCAAGTAATAAGACTAAGATGTTTCGCCTCAATCATACACGAAAACTTCTACGAGTAGCTACAAATTGAACAGATTACATTTGAGCTCAGATCCTCTAATCAGTGGTCAACGAAAGTTACCATGCAAAAATAAATCGACTCTATAAAAATCAGTCGTTAATTTACTTCAATAAAATAAGAAATCTCTATTCACTTATCAACAATTTTTAATTTATCTATTTCGGGTAGTGGGTTTATGTATGTAAATGTTTTTGTCTATTTCTTATTATAATTTTAAAAACCTATAAATTTCGCTTTGATATTTGCAGCAGAAGTATTTTTGTCTGCTAATTTCATGCAAGACCGACCACTGTGCAGTGGGGCAAGCGGGCACGTACATATGTATGTATATCTGACCATTGAAAAGCATCGGGAAAAACTATAGGTTTAACCGTTTGATAGTAAGGTGGCGCTTGAACTGGACCTATTTTATATACTCGAGTTTTTGAGCTATGATTAGAAAATTTTGCTACACAGATAGATAGATTTATATATATATGTATCTATAAGAAGGCTTATTTCGTAAACAAAATTCTGCATTATGAAAAGATACGGTATTCTGCAGTCGGTGATAGTCGATTGCTAAGTTAGTACTTGTTTTTTAGTTCATCTTATCTATCTTTATGTTCTTTCGTCCACGTAATCTTACAATTCGCATAAGTAAACGATGCTAGATTCAATATTTTGATGTTCTCACAATTTCTGACAAGTTTTTTCGGTCAAGATGTTTTTTGTTGTTGCTAGGTTTACCGTTTATATTGATATAGTATAATTTTTAGTTTTCAGACCCACATACATATATACATATGTACATATATACATAAGGTTATGAGTGCATTACTAACATCAATACTAAATTTAGTATTATATATATATATTCATATGTATAATATAATATAATATTTGTTTAATTAAATACTTAAAAGTAGTTCAATTAAACAGTTTATTCTAGGTAACTGTTAGCTAACTGTTGTTTTTTTTTCTCTTGTTTTTTTTTTTTTCAAAACAAGCCAAGCCCAAATCAAAATAGCCCAATAAATAACTTTCTTTGATGGCACGAGCTATTGAGAAAAAAGAAAATAAACATAATTAGTTGGTCGCTGTACCATGACATGACCTTTGCCGCATAGGATTGTATGCTGTTCAATTGTTCAAATGCCGCTGTAGAATCGCGCCGATGTGAGGAAACTGGAGACTAGTCGACGACAACAACAAGAACAACAACAGAGCTGCGGGCATACTATGCATGTATGCATGTGTGTATGCGCGTGTGTGTGTGTGTGGCCAGCATGCAATCGTACTTATATGCAACCACATATGTGCGACAAGTACAAGTATATAGTCTATATAGGCTAGTTAAGCTGCCTATATGTAAGCAGCATGCACATACACACACACACACAGACACACACTAATATATGCATAGGTACATACATATGTATTTGAATAAAGCAGGTACAGAAACGGACCGAATGGGTGACTATACAAAAAAAAAAAAAAAAAAAAAATAAATCAAGCTCGGCGAAAAATTTTCGATGCTCAGTTTCGACTAAAGCGCTATCCGAAACATCGAATCAGTTTAACGTCAAACGTCGGCGGCATCAAGACAATATAGAATAAAATAAAGCCAAAGCCAAAGCCAAATGCTAAACTAAACTAAAGTAAACTGAAGCCAAAGCCAAATGCGAAAAGCTTAGACTATAAATACACGCACATACACAGCCAAGCATTCATCATTCATACATTCATGCATATACACATGCATACATGCATACACACACAGGCGTAAGCGAGCATAAAGAAATGTGAAAGATGCGCGCGGTCAACTGAGCAACGGGATTCGGGATTGACATTCTTCTTTCATTTTTTTTTTTTCTGTTTGTTTTGTATTTGTTTGTGTTTGCCTATTGTCATTGTTGCTGTTGTTGTTCTTGCGGTGCACAAAAGTGTGATAAAGATAAAAGACAAGTGAGAAGCGTTATTCGCGACTGGCACGAGGCGCGTGCGTGTGAGCGAGATCGCAGGCGCAACTGTGCTGAATGCTGGCGAGGAGCGAGCGCAAGAACAAGAGCGAGACCCGAAGACGAAATTGAAAAAGAAGAAGAAACTAAGTAGGAAGAAAGGCAACGGCGGGCTGACAGTGGCGGCGGCTATTTTATGATTGCCCCTTGATTTATGCCTTCTGCCTTAAACGCGGTCCGACAACGCGAAATGCATTAAGTGACACGCACACACACACGCGCGCGCGCACACACACACACACAGCATTGTGTGTGGGTGTGTTTGAGTGTCGCGCCACGCCGCGCCTTGTGCTTTAAATTGCCACCTCCCCCTCCCCATACGATCAAATAGTACCAGCTGCCCCCTGTCTACGCCCCCACCCATCCCTTCACTAAGATCTTCACGACAATTGAAAATAACGCGCGTTTATATAGAGGCTCAAAGCCAGCTACATGCTGTGCGTGTGTGTGTGTACGTATATGTGTGTGGGTGGCTGGTTGACTGTGTGCGGCTA